TGAGTCCTACTTAAAGGACAGAAAAAACTTTATTTCTATAGGTAAATACACATCTGAGTTGACAAATATGACATGTGGGGTACCTCAAGGCTCCATCTTGGGGCCTCTTCTCTTTAACATCTACATGCTACCACTGGCTCAGATAATGAAAAACAACAAAATAAGTTACCATAGCTATGCGGATGACACACAAATTTACGTAACAATTTCACCAGGAGATTATGCTCCAATTCAAACACTGAGTAAGTGCATTGAACAAATCAATGACTGGATGTGTCAGAACTTTCTCCAATTAAACAAAGATAAAACTGAGGTAATGGTTTTTGGAGCCAAGGCAGAACGTATAAAAGTTAGCGCTGAGCTTCAGTCTGCAATGTTCAAAACAACAGATAAAGCCAGAAATCTAGGTGTAGTCATGGACTCTGACCTGAGTTTCAACAGTCACATTAAAACAGTTACTAAATCAGCCTACTATCACCTAAAGAACATATCTAGGATTAAAGGACTAATGTCACAGCAGGATTTGGAAAAACTTGTCCATGCTTTTATCTTCAGTAGACTCGACTACTGCAATGGTGTCTTTACAGGCCTCACTAAAAAATCTATTAGAAAGCTGCAGCTAATTCAGAATGCCGCTGCTCGAGTCCTCACTAACACTAAGAAAGTGGATCACATCACTCCTGTTCTGAAGTCTTTACACTGGCTTCCTGTGTGTCAAAGAATAGATTTCAAAATATTGTTGCTGGTTTATAAAGCTTTGAATGGTTTAGGCCCAAAATACATGTCTGACCTACTGCTAAATTATGAACCATCCAGAACCCTCAGGTCTTCAGGGACTGGTCAACTTTCTGTCCCCAGAGTCAGAACTAAACATGGTAAAGCAGCATTCAGTTATTATGCTCCGAATATCTGGAACAAACTCCCAGAAACCTGCAGGTCCGCTGCAACTCTTACTACTTTTAAATCCAGGCTGAAGACTTTTCTTTTTGCCGCTGCTTTTAATTGAACTATTCACATCTTAAACTGCACTGTAACTTTTAACTTTTATCCATGTATTTTTTCTTTTAATGTTTATTTTATTATCTTTCCTTTTTAATGACTGATTTTAAATGCCATTTTTAAAATGTCTTCCATTTTTGTAAAGCACTTTGAATTACCTTGTGTTGAAAGGTGCTATATAAATAAACTTGCCTTGCCTTGCCTTGCCTAAGATTGGCTTTATATTATTAATTATTAAACAAAAAGCCACAAAGAAATAAAGATGAACTAACATTATCCTTAGAATTTATCAAAACGAAACCTACAGTACTTTTGCATCTGTATATTTGCAGCAGCCTATACCTTTTCATGAAGTAGATAAATATAATGTTCAGTGCATTCTAAAGAAAATAAATACATTTTTATCAAAATCTCTCATGTGGTTGAGGTAAGTCCTGTGTGCCAACAACTTTATTAAGGGAAACGTTTGAAAATACGTGACCCCACTTTCTGCAGTTTGGGAAACATCCACTTCTAACACATCATTGAGATAGCAACACCTTTTCCTGTGTCTTTCCAATCTAATGGAAAAACTTCTACGCAGTGTCTTGTGGGGTCAACAGGTTTTTCAAAGATTAATCCTCATTCCGTGGCAATGCAGGTCTCTAATATAAAAGACTACAGTAAGCTCAGGGCTTCTGTTAACCTTAAAAAAATGTACATGTACATTTTTTTAAGTTCTAGTGGAGATCCCAACATTTCCTCAGATCCCAAATCTGATCCCAAGGCTTTGTACAAGACATTTTCAAAACTCTTTGGCATGAATAGTCTCTATAAGTACTGTATTGATGAATTGTTGTGGCATTTATAGTGCTTCATGTTTTCTTTATTTTCTGAATGTCTGGCTTCAGAGTTCATTGTCTTAGAAATAGTGGTATTTAAGATAGAAAAACTTAAGCAACATTTAAGTCCAAAGGGTCTCCCAGGATGCAACAGTTTCGCAACAATTTAGAATTGAAATGTAGACAAATCCCCTCCTTGTTTCCCTTATTCTTCTGGACCAATCTCCAGACCTCCACTCACACCAGGGGAACTAGATTAAACTATTGAGTGTGTTGTGACCTCTGCTGGTGTATAAAGGAACACCCTGGTCTTCATAAGCCTCCTACCAGGAAAACCACTACTGGTACCGTCTTCAGTATTTAGCTGGAGGGAGACTGAGAGAACTCACTTTTTAGATAAGATTAGATTCAACTTTATTGTAATTGCAAACATTTAGACAAAGGTTTCGCTCCACTCCACCCAATGCAGTTTGGTTTTCGTGCTCACCACTCCACTGAGACAGCTAACTGTGTGTTTGTGGAAAAGGTTAAATGTATGTTAGACACAAGCCCATATGTAGGTGCTGTCTTCCTTGATCTCAGGAAGGCTTTTGACACTGTTGACCACCAATTTTTCGGCAGTTTCGATACATTGGTTTAAGTCTTACTTATCGAACAGAAAACAGTGTGTTTTGGTCAACGGTGCCAAATCCCCCTACCTTGTGAACCCTGTTGGGGTTCCACAAGGTTCCATTCTTGGACCGTTACTTTTTTCACTGTACATTAATGACTTGCCTAATGTATGTCCTGAGTTGAATGTACAAATGTATGCCGATGATGCGGTCATCTTTGTACACGGGAAAAATACTGAAATAATCACATCCTGTCTCTCAATTGCTTTGGACAAGGTTCAACACTGGCTGAACAACATTTGCTTACAGTTAAATGTAAACAAAACAGTATGCATGATGTTCAGTCAACGACCAGTCAAAATTGAAGGATCCAATGTGTTTTTAAACGGAGCAGAATTAGAACTAGTCTCCCACTTCAAGTATCTTGGAGTCATACTGGACTCGAACTTGACTTTTAAGAAACACATTAAGAAAGTATCAAATACTATTAAATTCAACTCGCAAAATTAGACCTTTCTTAACTGTCAGTGCTGCAAAGGCATACCTCCACTGTATGATTCTATCCCACATTGAATACTGTTTTACAAACTGGTCGTTTGCTTGTGCCACAAACCTGAAACCCATAGAACAGCTGTACAAGAGAGCTATCAAGGTGTTTGACAGAAAGCCTTATTCATACCACCACTGTACCATCCTTGAAAAACACAATTTCTTGAGTTTTGACAATTTTAAGTCTTTTAAAAGTATGTGCTTTTTTATAAATGTTTACATGGACTGCCCCCCCCTCCCTTAGGGGAATTCATCCACAGAAAACCCACTGGACGCTGCACTAGGTCAGAAACCAGAGGAGACTGTGAAGTCCACCGTAGACGGACCACTTTTGGACAAAATGTCCTCTCCATTAAAGGCAGCTCATTGTGGAATAGCCTCCCTACTGAGATACGGGATTGTCCCACTCTCGATAGCTTCAAAGGTCAACTCAAAGAATGGTTGAGAAACAAACATACGTGCAATCACCGCACTTTATATGTCGTTGCTGCTACATTGCACTGCCTTGTGGTAAATGCTTGTGTATGCTGCTCATGCTCTTTCTGCATATCATGTATTTATTTTTGCTATGTTTATAAATGTCATGTTCTTAAATGTTGTATGTGACGGGACTACGGATGGAAATTAGCTCAGAGCTGAAATCCGGCATATTTACATTTGAAGCATTATTTGTTTAAAGTGTTCATCAATGTGCATTGTCCCTATTCAAATAAACGATTAAATAAAATGAAAATGAATTGAGTACAACGACATGCATTTGCATCCAACTAGAAGGTGCAAAGATTTAAGTGCTTGTGGTTACAATAAATTATACAACAACGATGTTGTAGTAATGTACATAAATCTATAAATATTAATAAATATCTTTGCATATTTAGAAGCATTTACATATAAGGTGCGGGGTTTAGGCATATCAAAGTTAAATACAGTTGTAATGAACATCAAATATAGATGTTGTAAATTGTAAATTTGTATCACAAGGAGTGAAATGTCCCCGAGTGTGAGGCGCTGTGGGTTGGAGCCCCATGACATTCAAAGGGGAATGTGGTGGTGTGTTTGTACTGTAGTTCGAGGATCATGGCGGGGGAGGGAGAGTGGGCTAGGTCTGAGTTTGATAGTTCAGCAGGGTTATGGTGTTGTGGAAAAGGCTGTTCCTGAGCCTGCTGTTGCAGAATCCACGGCCAGGAATGACATTGGCTCAACCTATACTATTTCGTAACAAACTAACAAAGGTATTCCTTACGGCAAATAATACAGCTGTACCCCTCCAGCAGGTAGAAGTCAGGAAACTTCATTTTTGTGCTGAAACTCATTCATTTATTATTCAATCAAAACCACACAATTCCCAATAATTAAAATGTATTGGATTCAGTCTTTTCTATTTGAGTTTCAAGCTACTACAATGTGAGGATTTGCTCTTTGTCTGTATCGCTATAAAATGAATATATTGTGGTTTTGGAATATTTTTGGACACACCATTTAGGGAATTATCCCTCTCTATGTGGACATAATTAGCTGTTTTCTGACATTTTATAGTAGACTATTGATGATTTGATTAAATCAAATTATTTATAAGCATTAATCAAATAAATACAATTATGAGTTTCAGCCCCTCTAAGAATACAATCCACATAGGACTCTCTTTATTCAGTTAAGGATCAAGTTATTTGAAAAGTGTTGATCATTCCTCATCATAATCAACCTTTTTCTTCACTATTATCTTAACCAGTATCTTGCCCACTGATTTAGGCAGAAACGTTATTTTATATTCAGCTCTGTCATTTAAATAGCCTGAAATCAAAAGTTTAAAGGATATGACATAACTTGCCTAAAGAACAAAATGAAATGTTTACATTACAACTCAAACCCACTTCCCTTTAAAAAAGAAATTACAAAATACAAGGGGGGGGTATCCTGGTTTATTAGATCGCAAACTCAATAAATATAGCACCATTTAAGAGTAGAAGCATTTAAAGAAACAAACAGTTTAAAAGGAAGATGCTCTCAGCTTGGGAATTACATTACCTGCTTATCATTTTTTTAATAACTCTAGTTCACTTGGTTGCTATAGTTCAATAAAACAAAATGACCTTTTAGGTTTCTAAGACTTGTATGATCCAGCCTGACATGAAGAATTCCGCTTCTAAATAAAGACAATACAGACATGCAGCGAGATAATATAAAACATCCACATACAGACAGCTTCAAATTGACATATTGCACTAAATAAAAATGCCAGTACAGACTTCTGCTGGAAGGAAAAAGTGAAAGTGGTTTTTAGGGTCATGTAATGCTCTGGCCTTATAGTGACTCTTCTATGATGATTAATATATCTTAAAGGTGGGGTAGGTGATTTTGGAGAAACCAGCTCGAGTGCGCTGGAATTTGAAAATACACAACCGGAAAAAATCTGCCAGTTCCTTACAGAGCCCCTCCTCCAACACACACGAACGCACACGTGACCAATGAAGGCACGAGATAAGTTTGTGCACAGATGGAAGGCTGACAGGCAGGTAGGCCATCCAATCATTTTAGCCGGCCCGGCTAAAATGATTGGTCGTGCTTTTTACAGTACTACGGCTTCCACAGATGACATTTTTTTATGAATTTTTTGTCAAAGCACTTAAGATATTCATTGCTATCGGGATGTTAAGAGCATTCCATGGAATATACTGTAACAAAAAGTGTATCTCGAGCCGGTTTCTCAAACTTACCTACCCCACCTTTAACTTAAAAAATACATGAATATAATATGCAAAGATATGGCATAAGACAGACAATTAGTATGTTTGTTGTGGTTTAGAAAACAACTCAAGCTTTTGAATTCTAAATGTTGTCTAATTTAAAACTTGAAAGAAAATAGCTTAAACCCATTAAAAGCCAGTAGATTCTGTCGTTGTGCTCTAAAAGTGACCAGAGGGAGGCGCTTTATTCCTGGAAAGGTTTACACAGAAAAGTCAAGTGACAAAAACTAAGGATCCCCTCACAGAAACCTCACCGGGCACTTGTGTTGAATGTGATTATAATGTACTGCAAGTTATAACGTCCTCCCCCTGTATTTGATCTTCAGCTACAAAAACATGTTTTACTTGTTCAGAAGAATGCAGCTTAACCAACATGTGCAACACTTTTTAATACATTTCTTGATTTATACGCAAAATTCATTTTCAGAATACTTTAAGAATCCAGTTTTTATCTTGTTTTATCTATCAGATTAGTTTTCAACTACTTCTTGATTTGGACACTAGGATATTGCTAGTTCTCTCTTGAGCGCATTGCTTTCATTCCAAACTATTTTCTGAAGTTTCCGAGCTGAACGCCTCTCCGTCCGCTCACACAGCGGAAGGTGGCTGGCTGGATGTCCCAGTATTTCACAGGGTTGGCAAACAGACTGATGCCTGTGTACAGGTTCTTCTTGAAACTGGGCTCCATCGGACAGAAGTCGTTGACTCCCACACTGTTGATTTTGTTGCCGTGGAGGTAAATCATCTAAACAGACAGAGATTTGTTTTTTTAAACAGTTGTTTTTGTGCAGTAAACCACCATGAGTTATGTTCCCTGAACTCAAGATCACAATGTATTGACCAGGAAAGAAAGTCTGAGTCAGAAAGTTCTTATTTTCATCGCTCCAGGTTGCTGAGTTGAAGGAAACTGCTATTGTAGTACAAAGGAAACTGACCTGATCTAACTATGGATTTATGTTCCAAAATAAGTTTACTATGTGGGATGTCTGGGCTCGGTAATATGCTCCTTCACAGTGAGAGAAGGATTTATTAGGAGAAGTTACTTGACCTGCATGTCACCCTGTGGATTTTTTTGATCTCATACATTGGAAACGTAGGATTCTTTTGAATGAGCTGGAGGACATGGCCTTTGAGTACGAAGTCTTGGCAACATGCCTGCTTTGCCTTCAGATGCTGCTACATTTGGATTACATATTTTCCATCTCTAAGCATCCAATACAAAGATATGTCAAGATCATGTTTATCTTCTAAAGAAATGTAAAACGGAGTTAGTTTTGGAGCTATTTGTTGACCAACCATCGTGACTACATACAGCATCTCAGAAATCCTGCCCTGATAGCGGGTTTGCCAGCTTATAGCCCTGTCCTAACTCCACAGTCAGCTAAACCTAGATGACTTCAGTTTGTGGCTCGCACTTTAGTCTACTGATACTGACCAAAGTGTCTGTATCTCACCTGGAGGTAGCGCATGGAGCCAAGGTTCGGTGGAACCTTTTTCAGACGGTTGTGGTCCAGGTGGATCTGACGGATGCTCGGGATGCTGGCAAAGCTTCCGTTTTCTACAAACTTGATCTGGTTAAAGCCCAGTCCTAGCCTGCAGAAATGTCAAAAGATAGTTGAAAGGTACAATTCATTATCACCCCTTGTTAATAGAAATCCTCGACTCTCCAGAAATGAAGTGATGAAAAAAAGTGAGTTTCCGGCATAATATGAGGCTTGTTTTTTTTTTTTACCTCTGCAGGTTTTTGTATCGTTTGAAGTCTTCTATTTCCACCTTAGTGATCTTGTTGTAGTCTAAGCTCAGCTCTGTGATGGAAGAAGGGAGGTCTGGGAGAAAATCAAACATAACCAATATAAAGAGCAGAACAAGACAAGCATACTGTATACTCAATGAATTACTTATTTTTTAAACTTATTAAAATAAAGCATCATATCAACAGTCTTAAGCAGTGTTTAAGCCTAATTGAGGTGTACTCTGTGTATAGTACTGTATGTGAGATCAGTGATATTCTACCTTTTGGTACGGCGGTTAGTTTGGCCTCTGCAATACCGATGTACAGGGTGGACAAGCCGTCAAAAGCTCCAAACTCAATCCCAGCGTTAGCCAGAGGGTTGGCGCCCAGCTCTGTTGGAAAAAACAAAGAGAAGATCTGCTACATTTTTCAATGATCCCATATTTCTCCTGATTCCATTCAAGAAAATATATTTTGAGGGCTTGTTAGTCCTCAATATGTCTCCAGTTTACCAATCAAAATCAAATACTACTGAAGAAGGTTTTTCTTTTCCTAGTTAACGCTTCATTAAATGAGATAAATGGTACAATCTGTAACAACAGATGGGACCATGCAGATGAAAGGTAAAAACAAATTAATTGGGCATAATAACCTGCATAACCTGTAAAAATGTGTTTTAACTGTGCAATACTTAATTACATTGTATATTCAGAGCAAAATAATATATTTATTAACATTTATACACCACTGTTATATCGTAATATACATGTTTTTACATATTTGTTATTGTTAAATATTGTAGTACAATGTGCACATTTTAAATTGTAATTTATTATTGTTGTATATATATTTTTATTCTATTTTATGTTATCTTCTTATTGCACCTTTTTACTATAGCGTCTTTTATTTCATTCTGAAATGGAGCAACTGTCCCAGACCTAATTTTAAAAAGGATAAATAAGTGTTTCTAACATATTCAATTAAGAGACAAGAACATGTGTTAAAAAAAAAGTGCACACACATGGTTGATTGCACAACAGATATGAATCATGAAATGATTTGCTGCAGTCTTTGGGTTGAATAGAAAGCTGCCAACTTCTCCTTGGCAATGACCTGATCTAGGTCTGCATTATATGATAAAAACCTAGTTAGCATTATTTTGACTGACATTGCGAATACGATATAGGAGGGATTGATCATTTTGGATTCGTTCTTCAAATAAACATTGAAAATTAAATCAAAATGATTAGGCTGTAAAGAAAATTGTGTTAAGAGGATATAGCATATGTTTTGTTTAGTCTTTAGAGTACTTTTTGAAGGACTCATTACTTCTACAGCTCTACAATACTTTATTCAAAACATTATCCTTTAACAAGTATTCTGCTTGCTGCGATTTTAATATTGCAAAGTCCAAATTGCAATATCGATTATATCAGATACATTGACATCCTATGCAATCTGGATTCAGTTCAAAGCACAGTACTGTGACTGCCAGTCTGAAAGTCTTAGACGATATTAAGGCTGCTTTGGATAAGAAATCAGTTTGTGTTGCATTGTTTATTGACCTAGCCAAAGCATTTGACACTGTAGATCACCACATTATGTCTAATGTTATGTTGGTGTCTCGTTTCGGTCACAATGCCATTTGCTGGTTTCAGAGTTATCTAACCGACCGTACTCAATGCGTCAGGTTGGGTAGTACTGTCTCTGACCCTGTCACCTTGGAGAAGGGAGTTCCACAGGGCTCTATTTTGGGGCCCTTGCTCTTTTTATTATATGTAAACAATATTTGTAATCAGATGCAATTTTCTACCTATCATATGTATGCTGATGACAGTATTGTATACTCATGTGCTCCTTCTCTGGATATGGCCGTTTCCAATTTAAAATCAGATTTTATCACGCTGCAGCATGCACTTCTTGATTCCAAACTGCTATTGAACAGTAAGAAAACCAAAGCAATGCTTTTTGCTCCCAAGTCAGCGTCCTCTTGCCTCTCCATTGACACCCTTGATGGCGTTTCTGTTGAGTTTGTTGATACCTACAAATATCTGGGACAGTAATCTGAACTTCAAACACCATATTGAAGTTTTAACAAAGAAATTGAAATTCACTCTTGGCTTCCTTTTCAGACTTAAATGTTGTTTTTCAATTTCATCCCGTAAAAGGTTGGTCTCTGGCTTATTCCTGTCCCAGCTGGACTACGGTGATACCATTTATAGATTTGCCTGTCCCACTGTTTTGGCCAAACTTGACCCACTCTACCATGCTGCACTGCAATATATATCAAATGCACCCTATAGGACTCATCATTGCACACTGTATAGCCTAACTTGATGGTCCTCACTTACTATGCGTAGGATGCAGCACTGGTTTTTATTAATCTATAAAGCCATTTTAGGTAAGCTTCCACTGTACATATGTGCCAGATTTGCCCCAGTTTGCGACTCGTACAACCTCAGATCCAGTGCCTGGATACGGTTCCAGGTACCTGCTGTGCGGACTGAGGCTGGAAAAAGGAGTCTTTTTTATTATGGTCCTTGGTCTTGGAATGACCTTCAATCACGCCTAAAACTGAGGTTATTTGTCTCTATAGCATGCTTTAAATTGAAGTTGTCTGAAGTCCTCACCACCAGCTGCTCTTGCAGTAACAAGTAGTGTACTTTTCTTACTGTCCTAATGTGCACAATGTAGTGACTGCTTTTTCGTCTTTTGTTTTCTTAGTTATGTTCTCTGTATTTTATATGTTTGTGTTATGTGTTATGTGTAACGTTGCTGCCTTCTTGGCCAGGTCAGCATTGAAAATGAGATTTTATCTCAATGCTTTTATCTGGTTAAATAAAGGTTAAATAAAAAAATCAAAATAAAAAATTGAGTTGATTAATACAGGAAGCTAAAGTCAGGTCTTACCCAGCACATGCAGTTTCCTCAGGCCTTTGAACGCCTCCTTCTGGATTTTATTAATCTTGTTTTCGTGGAAGCGGAGCTCGATGACGTTGGGAGGCAGGTTTGCGGGGATCTCAGTTAGATGGTTGTAGGAGAGGTACAGCAGTCTGAGGTGTTCCATGTTTATGAAGGCCTTGGGGTGAATCTTGGAAATCTTATTGTGGATCAGAAACAGGCCCTGATGTAGGAGAAAGGAAAAATAAAATGTAGTACATTCAATATTACTTTTTACAGTATACAGTATATATTGAGTATACGGAGCCCCAAGTAATCTCTTATTCCTAAAAAGAAATGTTTGTCTGTCATGTTATATGAAAAGAAGATGTCTTCTCATTTTTGACAAATGTTTGACAGTCAAACTCGGCTTACTTCAAAGCTGTTTGTTAGCTTCGAAAATACTCTAGTTTCTTTGTTTTGTACAAAATCTAAATTAATCACATTTAAAGGGAACTCAACCCTATTCAGGTTCAGGTCAGCTGCGCCACTCAACTCTTGATGACAAGCCAATGCATGACCACAGAACGTCATACTGTCCTTACTTAGTTTGCTTTGATACAGCAGAGTATTATTCAACTTTAGGCCTTAATGTGGTTTATTCTCAGCTGAAAAAACATTTGTTAAATCAAAGACAGACCTGTTGGTAGACCTCATATTTTCTAATGAGTTTCATGCAAAGGAACTGTAATATGTCAGGCTGCAGGCTACATTCTGACTGATATTAGAGAGCCGTTTCTTTTTATCTGGTAACTTTGAAAGCTGTCATTTCGTGAGTCTGATTGGGAGTGATTGAAGATCTGAACCAAATCTTGGCATTTTGTAGAGGGAAGTAATAGGAAGTCATTGGTTCTGTTTCTAATATGTCTCGGGCTTATTTAGTTGATTTTGGCTCAAGAGATGCACATTTTGAATACTGTTTTACAAACTGGTCGTTTGCTTGTGCCACAAACCTGAAACCCATAGAACAGCTGTACAAGAGAGCTATCAAGGTGTTTGACAGAAAGCCTTATTCATACCACCACTGTACCATCCTAGAAAAACACAATTTCTTGAGTTTTGACAATTTTAAATCTTTTAAAAGTATGTGTTTTTTTCATAAATGTTTACATGGACTGCCCCCCCTCCCTCCCTTAGGGGAATTCATCCACAGAAAACCCACTGGACGCTGCACTAGGTCAGAAACCAGAGGAGACTGTGAAGTCCACCATAGACGGACCACTTTTGGACAAAATGTCCTCTCCATTAAAGGCAGCTCATTGTGGAACAGCCTCCCAACTGAGATACGGGATTGTTTCACTCTCAATAGTTTTAAAGGTCAACTCAAAGAATGGTTGAGAAACAAACAGACGTGCAATCACCGCTAGATGCACTTTAATACACGGGTAACTCCTCTTGCACTTTATGTAGCTCTTTTTTTGCACTTTATGTAGCACTTTTATCTCCTCCTGCACTTTATATGTCGTAGCTGCTACATTGCACTGCCTTGTGGTAAATGCTTGTATGCTGCTCATGCTCTTTCTGCATATCATGTATTTATTTTTGCCATGTATATAAATGTTATGTTCATAAATGTTGTATGTGACGGGACTACGGATGGAAACTAGCTCAAAGCTAAAATCCGGCTCATTTACATTTAAAAACATTATTTTGTTTAAAATGTTCATTAATGTGCATTGTCCCGGTTCAAATAAACAATTAAATGAAAAAATGTTGGTTGTAGGAGTCGGGGGGAAATATTTTCAAATAATAAATGCTATACTTCTACTACTCTGGATCAATTGACCAATTCTAAAAATTATTTTAAAACATTGTTAAATTGTATGTTCGCCTGAAAAAAAGCAAGCAAGTCTATACAGAAAGCGTAATGGCTTGCATTGCACTTGCTCCAAACACACTCTTCAATTTATTGTATATTTCTTTTATTTTCAGTAGGAAAGACATTGGCGTTCCTATTTACAGATGTATATGGTAATTTAACAACATTTCCTGCAGCATATTTCTGCTTTAGATGCGTGCAGGAGATTTGGCTTGAATTGATCGGATGGATTTTTTCATTCATTACGTCTTGAACTCCGGACATGTCTTTTGTTTACATCTGTCTAATATTAACAGAGAGTGGTTGTGGTGTTCATCACTGTGTGCGGGTTAAACCTGTGCTCAAGGTTCCTCTTACATGAAGTTTGTTGAGGCCCTTAAAGTCGTGCTCCTTGATCTCGGTGATGTCATTGTTCTGGAGGTCAAGTATCACAGTGTCCTCAGCAATCTTCTCAGGAATAGAGATATGTCCTGTTGGCAGAAAGAAATGCCTTATTGAAGACCAGAGTTGGACTAAAAGTGATGAGAGAGCTCATTCTACAACAATGTGTGCAATACAATACTGAGATGTACAGGTGAAGAAGTCATTGTTGTGTTTTTGACTCAAACGCTACCATCTCAGTTAAAGTTAACATTTTCATTGATGCAAGATGGATAAAACGATCAGCAGTATTTATTACTCATCTTGTCACTTTCTGACATAAAATAGTAAAGTTAAAATAATATAAACTATCTATGAAGCACCAATGACACCAGTTGTATAAAGTGCTTTGAACGCTAAAGCAGGATACAAGGCAATACAACAGTGATACCAAACAAAAACACAAGCCATTTATATCAATAGCGGTGTTCTCTCACTTTTGTCGGAGCACTGCACCACTCTTGGTGAGCAACGGCAGTCAGAGGGACAGTTCCCATCTTCATAATCATCGTCGTTATCATCATCATCGTCTTCATCGCTCTCTTCATCTGCTGAATCAGCCATCATGATGTCATAGTTTTTCATAAATTCCATGACATTGATTGGCTCGTAGGGTTTGGCGTTGCCTATCGCCAGCAGGCAAAACAGGAGAAAGACCCTCATGGCTTTATTTTGGAGGGCGGGTCCGAGATACAGCAACCAGGGAGAGCTGGGGATAAGAAGGAGGTCAGGTTAGCTCTAAAGTGAGAGGCAGGACGAGACACTGAGGAAATAACCTCGCTAGGAAGGGAAATGTTTTTGTTTCTTTTTTCCATCAGTTTTATTCCAACAAACAGAAAATCATATATCACGATATTTTGATATTGTATACCTTATTGTAGAAATGTGGTCCTATCATTGAATATTGGTACAACATTTTATTTGAAAAATAATCTTCTGCATTGTGGATATAATGAGCACCAAACGTTGGGTTGAAGATGGCTAAACTGTCCACAGTAAAGAAAAGAAAAAGATAGAGCGCTGGACATCAGAGGAATCAACAGAAGATGACAGACAGGAAGTAAACACTAACTGGACCACAGTACAGGCTTTGGCCTTGTTTAAAGTTAAAACAGTTACAGAAAACCTTGATCAATTATTGAATGACTGTTTCACTAGCAGGCATGTGTAAATGGCATTTTATAATAAGCGTTATCAGGGAACTTGTCTGCTACCTCTCCATCTTTCTCAGGATAGTTATGAAATGCATACAGCAATCAACCAACTATATACAATGTTTGTAAAAAGAACAAGGAAGAGTTTCACAGGATCTAAACCCATATTGTCTTAAGAGGTCTCTATAAGTGCAGAATTTAGCAGCAATACAAGTGGACCCAACCCAACTAGATTGAAAGTCATTTGGACACAGCCAAACTCGAGTCTTGGGTCAATCGTAGTTACTTGGAGCAAACCGTTGTTGTATACGGAGTGGAGTGCACCAGCTGGGCGTAACCTGGGCGTAACTCTACGTCCGACGTAGAACCGAAGGTTAAGACCAAACTAAAGTTATGACTAGTGCACCACTAAGACTTAAGCCCTGTATGCATTGCGCCTGGGTGTAACTTTTACGCCTAGTATGGAGCAGGCGTAAATCTGAAAGACAGACTAGTATCCATAGTAACGTAAAACAGGTAAGAAGGAAAATAACAATGGCAGTGCGTCTTGTTTACAGGTTTAACAACGGAAGGGCATTAAGACGAGAAAGAGTCGTCCGTGATCGAACAAACCCACTGGACATCTAGCTGATAGAGAGGTTTCGTTTCGGCACACAAGCCCTTTTAGAATTAATCGAGGAGATCTCCTCAACTCCAGCATGTATCAGACAGAAACGCTGCGCTCTCCCCAACCTTGCAGGTGCTGATTGTGCTCAGATTTTAAAAGTGTACAGCTTGCTTTGAATGGAGAAGTTTGAGTGTTAAATTATGTAGACGCGTGTTGCTTGGCAACAATGACTGTTTCGCGTGTATTGACGTGGACGCGCATCTTAAGACTAGGCGCATCTTAAGACTAGGCGCAGCTACGACCGTGACTAGTCAGGTTTGGTGCACTCGGTGTAAATTAAAATCACTAAGTCGGACGTAGCTAAGCCCGACGTTAGAGTTATGCCCAGCTGGTGCACTCCACTCCAGATGGCTCCATGTCCAAAACTCGAACACACAGTTCCATTTAGATGCAGATTATTTGGAAATCTGATACTCTTATTTTTAAGATTTAAAAAAGATTGGAAAGAGCAACATTTAATCGTGCTACACACAAAAGGGTTTGTTCCTGACTTTTTTGGACTTAAGGCCGCTACACACCAACCTGAGACCAAAGAACGCGTACCGAAGGCGTCCCGACTTTTACGTCCGCTACATCGCCTGCGTCGGCTACGCCGCCCGCCTACGCCACCTGCCTACGAACACACCGCAAAGACTTCAGTCGACGAGTGGCAATAACTGTCCTTGCCAGCAGGCAGCGGTAGTGTGTATTCGTCATTCAAAAGAGGCAACAACCGGAAGACAGACTGCGTGATAACCGAGAGAAGAAGAACAGACTGCGTGATATAAACAAACAACAAATAGCGTCTGGGTTCCATTTTCACTCTCTCTCTCGTCGATCGAAAACATGTATCGTACGGTACTGGCGTTATCAGCAATTGGAGTGTTGCTTGCGGCTGCAGAGATTAAGAAGCGGAAGCGAACAATCAGGAGAAACCGCACTAAATAGGTGAAAACATGGATACTACAGCGAGAAGCTCAGGGGGCTTTCCCGAACCTGTGTCGAGAGCTGTCCCAGGAAGATGGAGACAAGACCCTGAACTACGGCTGGCCACCCTGCCACACGGCACCAATATTCCAGCTCGAGCCAAGCAGCACAGGGATGAACTATGCCAATATTTTAACGGTGTCGGTGCAGTGCCTTTTCAGTGGGATAAGATATAGCAAATATGTCTAAAGAACTGTACAATGTAAACAATCGACAAAAATACAATACGATAAAAATAGTGTGTAATACAATAAAAGGTTTGCCAAATATGTCTAATGCTGTGTTATCAATGGCTGTAGTATCAAGGTACGAAATAAAGTTTTGTATTGCCTATCCTGCTATTTGTGTTTATTCTTATAATCACACAGCGTTAATAAAAAAAAGAAAATGTGCCTACATAACTGTCAGTTGCAGCCGTACATTATTATTGGTTTAACTACTAACAGTATATTTTTAACACATTTTAAAATGACCATCTTGAACAGCTACAACGTTAAAATACTTCCAGGCAGATTGTGGAGGATAATGGGAGAAAGAATAGAGGGGCAGACAGAAACACCCATCTGAATAATGGCCACTTCTTGCAAAATGTACATTTCCATGTGATGCTCACAATAGGTAAATGAACAATGAACAGTGGTAGACAGTAGCTCTGTGTGTCTGTGTGTGCCTTCTTAATCGTTTGTTTTGGTCCCTCACTTCCGCTTCGCTTCTCATGCACTGATTCGCTAAGCTGAACAGCCAATCAGAGTGATTTCTTTGGCCGACTTTCTTTGGCCGACATGTTGAATCGGCCGCGGGAGGTGTGAAAATGTGCCGTAAAGAGACGACGGTGCGCGACACACCAACCTGAGTAGGGCGCCGCGAATGCCCGACTGCCTCTGACGGCCTCTGACTCCCAAAATCGGGTTGGTGTGTCAGGGGCTTTAAGTCTAATTGATGCTGTTTTAAGTACTAGATAAATTAAAATCTACTGGTCTTTGAAAAATATTTACATTTAAATTTAAAACAATTTGATAATCACTGCATGCTGTTTTGAGGGAAGGGTTGTATTTGGACCGGCACATCCCTAAGTTTGTGTGTTTAGTCCTTCCTAAGGTATTTAGTTAAAAATCAACTATTTAAACAGAAAGTAACTGTATTACGAACTGTACCGTACCTGCCAAAAATCACGGTTTTATAAGGCCAGAAAATATATTAAAATGTTACTGTTATATTAAACAGTTATTCCCTTGTGAAAGTGCTGACATTTTGGCAGAATAACACAGATGTTTGTGATAATAATATCACATTGACACACCCAAAGAAAGAAAGCAACTCCCTTGAGTACATTACTTAATTGCTGTCACTATATTTTGCATCCTTAAATCCAGTTTCTATTATGAAAGTATATATGTTAGTTTGTACATGTTATCAATTTAAACGGCATAATAATTCATCATAATATCTTGATACACGATTTCATTACGATATGATTTCTTTGAAAGCTTTATAGTTATCATATTGAATTATTGTTTAGCCCTACTAAATAGTAAACAAGAAACTTTACTTTCCAAATACAGTTAAAAGTAAAACTTTTTTCTTTTGGAGAACGAGAAAAAGTATCAATAAATGTATATAAAGTACAAGTATCTTAGAACTGTACTAAAGTAGGTAGCAGGTAGCAACACTCTTGGGTATCGGAGCCATATTGTATATGAACCGTTTTCTCCCCAGTGCAAATGTCACCTCATATCCACTAAAACTGTTTTAGTGCTCTAGTTGAGTTACAGCCCTCCAATAATCCTGATTTAGGAATGTATTACTAAAACAGTGTGTGGTGGGAAATGGCTCTGTTTTCCCTAAGTGATCAGTTTCAGTAAATGCTGCTTTTTCTATTAGTGTTTCCATGAATTTCTGAGAACTTCCACTGGAAACAAGTTCTTGCAGCCAACATAAATGTTTCTGCAGCTCTCACCTATTCAGCATCTTTGGTGATTCACAAAATGATTTATATATGTTCCTCTGTTACACATTCATACAGTCAGCAGAGAGAGGTTGTCTGGTTGCGTGCTTTTAGTAATCTCAATGGATTCTAAGATTCTTCAGTTGAGGAGTCAGTCCTCCCACAACTATGTGTTGGTGGTCGAGCGTCCTGCTGCATCAGCACATACCGCTCAGCGTAGACCCTTCCTCTGCACTCAGACTCCCTTTTCTTCCACATGTGCACATTTAATTTCTTGATGTGTGCAACATGGTTATTTATTTTACAACTTGGCACGGAGTTGGAGATAATTATGCTGTTTATTGTGTTTTCCTGTCTCCTAATCAAACAAGCCCCAACCAATACATTAAACCTGTCTTCTCTCCAGTCGGACTGGTGAAAGTAAAGAGCTTTTGTTCACAGTCTGAATTATTTTTCTAGAGGTTTGAAGTTAATAAAAACATCCAAACAGAGTGTAGTCACCCTCTATCCTCCTCTGATCCCTGCTGTCTCCATCAGGACTCGGATACAGTATTTGTCCCAATGATCAAAAAGTCAATTGTTATGATTATTGGGATAGTAGTATATTTAAGTCAATTAAATGTAAAAAGAAAAGGAAGCTCTAGTCACCCATTGTATATGTTTAACCAACAGTCCAAAATCCCAGAATATTAATGTTTACAATGATATAAAGCAGAGAAAAATAGTTATATCTCACATTAAGAAAGCTGGAATTAGCGAATATGTGCCATGGCAAAAATAGTTGCTTTAAAATATGCTTATGTTCAATTGATTCAAAACTATTACTAGATAGGATTCTGTTGATTGACTAATTGATTCATAGTTTCAGCACTCTTCATACTAGTATAAGAGCTATCTGCTTTGTACCACTTTTAGAAATCTGAGCTGTTTCTGGCAGATTTCCATCATGTGTTTGTATTTACCATTTGGAATGAACTTGTTTTCCCTTGGAAAATTAAATCTACTTGAACTGAGACTCCGGGCAAGTAACACATGAAAGACCACAGCACTTAATCAATTCTCATCTTCCCTTCAGATATCAATGATGGTTTACTTAAAAGGTGATCCACAAAACATTCCTGTAAAATAAATAAACCTAAAATATTATCTTAATATAGATACATTTTTCCTACAATACAGACACAGATCAGTTGGTTAAATAAAAACAATTGTATAAATGTTGCATCCTAGTGGCTCCTCTGTAACGACTCCATCACCTTTAAGGCACACAGCAGAAGTAAAACGTGTATACACATTGGAGATTATACATTCTTAGTAAATAAAACTTCACTAAAACGTATTTATCAAAAAGATTAGGTCACTTATGTTGTTATTAAATCCAGGAGTGTCCTACCTCAGTTGTTCGTGTCCTGGTTTAAACCCCGCGCAGTGAGCAGAGCAGCAGCAGCAGGGTCCAGCTGGAAGGCTGAGCTTTGGATCCTCAGTCAATACATTCCCAGTGAACGGAGAACAGCATCACCCTCTCTCACTAGGATTTTTTTTTTAAACTGAACACCCCCACTGATGGAAAACCCACGCTGTTGGGGTGAGAGGTTGCGTTTCCGTGAAGAGCTTGTGACTCAGTGATCACACCGTCTGTACATCTCTGGGTCTACAGCTGAAATGCCAATGTTAGGATTTCACTCATGTGCTTTTCTTCAGGAGCTTTGAAGTGATGCCAGGATCATTAGCTTCAGACTTTTGAAGTCTTTATATAGGACAAACTGGTAGGTCTGTCGCCACCCTCACAGCTTGGTGCCACATAAAATATTTTACCTCAACATGAACGGTTCCTACACTAAGGCCTGTTGGCACTGGGGCAAACAGGGAGAGTGGGAATTCATATTTAATTCATCTAAATTAGCATTGTGAAGCAACTAGCAGGAGGGGAATGTTTGAGATGTAGTGATGCTTGTCATCAGGTAGCAGAATATATTTACGGTTAAGAGGATGGAATAATTAACCCTTTTTTTTTATTTATCCAAAAAAATTACTGCGAAAATATATTCTAAAATGTCAACATACAAAGAAACTGCAACACTCTGTAAAAACAATGATCCAATCAAAGTGAGGAAACAAATATAGACATTTCAGAGCATAATCTGCAATCCACAAAAACAACCACCCTAGCCTGTTGCAGACCACATTTTGGCCTTTGTTGTGGCTCAGAAACTGATATCCATAGAAAGGTTTGTCTGTTTGTCATTGAAACTATTTCCAGAGTGATTCAGTACCCCATATGTTATGATCCACTGAAGTAAGGCAAGATTGGAGATGAATAAACAACTGTTTTTCCCTGTAAGGGAGCCAATAGAGACAATTAAGTCAGATTCAACCTTTTGTAGTTCAAGCAAAGCATTCACATCAACACCAACTAATATCACCACGCACTGCTAATCAATCTGTAATGCTCTCCTCACGTCTCCATAAAGCTGTGACTTTACTTTAACCAATACATAAAGCTAATAAGTCTTCCGACATAAGGTTCTTCAAGTTACCCTAACAGTGAGTGGCTTTTTTTGTCTTTGTATACATATCTTTCTTAACTGGAAAGGAATAGCAGAAGACAAACTGAGATGATGCTTGCAACATGCAGTCCACATCATATGTTCTGCATGATGAGTCTTAACAAGGCACAACATGAGAGCCTAAATCTTTACATTTGAGGCAAAAAAGACCTCCCAGGAATGGAAAAGCTAACAGGAGCTTGTTTCCTCAGGGGTTTATCCGTATACTATTCCTTTTTCCATTTGGTGCTGCTATTTTCTGCTGAGCTGATCTAAATATGCCCTGGTCTGGCAGTCAGACAAACCCAAATGGATTGTGTTCTGGTTTCAGTGCATCTTCTTGGAGAAACCATATTTTCCAATCCATCGGAGAGATCTGGTTAAATGATCATCTCGTGTTTAACATACTCTTTGAAGAAAAATTCATAAACATAGAGGATCTTAAGCAAAAGTATCTTTAGATTTTTTTTTCTTTAGTGTTCTAGTTTTCTAGTTTTAGAAGACTGAATAAATCATACAACACAACAAACTATTTTGCTGTCACTCTTAATTAACCTCATAGAGATTGCCATTTGTCTTCAGTATAAATGTATTTTGTAATCAAAGGTTTTTGGTTTGATTCTGAGATTTGAGTCCAGGCTTTGTTGCAACTAGAAAATTATTATTATTTGATTATTAGGGAAGTATTGATTGACTTAACTCTAAATTAGTCTTTACTGGTATCTGTTAAAAAGCTTAAAATATATACATTTCTGATTCAAATGAAAAGCATCAATAATGAATAATTGAAGGCACCAGTAATGGACAGTCCGTCTACGTCACGTTTCAAAAGTCCACTGCAAAGTACTGTTATCTGATATTACAAAGTTTACTTTTATTCCCTGTTAAAACCTCAGGGTCAATCCCTCATTTTCAGAGCTTTAGTTGTAGTCGTGCTTAAACAATAGCCTGCTATGAGCCAGATTTCAAGATAAAAGGAACCATTTTCCCAAATGTTGCAGGAATATAATTGTAGCATGATGTAAGCCACCGTACAGTTTTCTGCTTTCTATGCAGCGTGACAGGACACAGGCTTTGTTCTACACTTCAAGGACCAATAGCCCATAAGTATTTCCTGTGATTTGATTTGCCTGGACATCTTTATAGTCTGTCCAAACAAAAAGGTACAAAAGTAAACTTTGAATGGTTGAACTTTTGTTTTTGCTCATGATTTTTGTTGTGCTCTCATTCTCTGTTCTCAAGAATCTTGTGAATGGAAACCTCAAACTGTAGCTTCAATAGTCTAAAGACGGAAACTGGTTTGTGGTACTGAAATAATATATGGCGTAATTGTTGGAGTCACAGTATTCAAACGGCATATTACAATTTAGAGATTATTTCCTGATGGGAGATGGTCTGCGCTCTTGATGGGAGGCGGTCAGGATATCATACTTTCCAACCCTTCAGACATCTGTCATGGAGCTTCTTATGTTGAGAAAAAGATGTTCCTCCATCTGAACCCTTTAAATGCTGTTAGTCACAGAGCAACTTGCAGAGCAACCGTGCCAAGGAGTTGCCTCAGCACTGGTGTGCGTTAGTGCTTTTTTGTAGCCTCTTTTTGCCAGGAAACATTTTGTTAGAGCAGTGACACGGTCATAACTCAGGGCGTGTTACCTACTGCTGAGAGTGTTACACAGCCTTCAGGTCGACTTTACCATGACGTTAACTCAACATGAGTCCACGTAAAGATCATGATCGTGATAAAAAATATTGTGCACAAGCTTAGATTCCAGAAGCACATGATGTGCTTATTCAGTAAACGTATTAAAATACGATTTTAAACTTACAGACCTATATGTTTTTTAGATTTTAGGTACAGTATGTTTTGGGCCACCAGGGCCTTTATTCAGCCCATGGACAATAAACCTACATATAGGTTTAAGTGTTAACAACAAATACTTTCACACACTGTATTTAATGATTTGCTATGCAACAGTTTAAAAATAGTTAGATTTTTAGATGAGACATTTTTAACAATTCATTGTATGTAGCCCCCACTTTGTTTGACATAATTAGTTGAGATCAATGGTTTCCAAAGTGTGTGGCATGCTACCTCTTAAAATGAGTAGTAGTCGTAGCCCATTGTCAGTGGATATTTGCATTTATAGATGATGACCGTGTCCATTAAAGAGTATTATTTTCAGTTGTATTTGACTAACTTTAAAAGGGCGGCAAAGGTAGGATTATCTAAATTATCAAATAAACGAGTGAAAGTATTGGAATGGATAAAACACTTTAACTTGATTTATTTTACTGAAGGCATTTTAAATATTTCATATCTTTCTGCTTGGAGGCTTTAACTTCTTTAAATGGGCTCAATTATGCTAAATATTAGATTCACATTTGTATTTCTTGTCTCTCCTGTGACATGTCTCCATGCTTTAATGTTCAAAAAGCTTTTTATTGTTCTCATACTGCCTGTGCTGCAGCACCTCTTTTCACCCTCTGTCTGAAACCAGAGCCCAGTCTGCTCTGATTGGTTAGCTGGCCGGCTCTGTTGTGATTGGTCAACCGCTTAAAGAGGTGCCGTCGCTTAGCCTATCACTTACAATGCCTTGGAGCACTAGCCAAAGGAAATGCAAGTGTAAAATAGTGATGTCACACTGTTACATGTCACTATGTAACAGAAGTAAACAAACAAGTCTAAATAAGTCCCACGTTACAATAAACCAAATTCATCCTTTAAGGAATTCATCCTGCTATAGAGGTGAATGAGGGTCCAAACCTTTTTTTAATTATTTTGACCTGATGAAATGTCTGCTGAGTACATAACCTCGTTATTACCTTGAGCCTTAAGCCTTCACCCTGAGAAGCATTGGAGAGGTTATGTGACTAATGAGCATTAGATGGATTCTTCATGTGTTTGATATGTGATGCTGATGGATGCAGCAGCTGTTCACATTGGCAAACAAGAAGAACTTTCTCTTTTCGACCAGGAAAACGTTTGATCTTTGAGCTCTGGCTCATTGCAAGAACATTTTCCAGCTGAAGAAGGATGAGATGTCTGCTGCCAATATCTAGAAAGTGACCAGACATTACTGATAGTTTTTGTTTTATTGCTTTTCTTCTTTTAGTTTATAAAGTATTATTGTCTAGATATACATTAACAAAGAAGGAGCTGAGGTTTAACACAGTTTAACAGTTTAACTTTTCTGTTCCAATCGTCCTTCAGATCTGTCTGCTACTGAAGTAACTGATCCTCAACCTCAGGCTTCCAGAGGAAAATATTATGATAAAGTTGGCTTTCAGTTCTGATAATTGCAGCTTCCATTGAATACTTATTGCAGGAGGGCAGAGGGAAAATGATGTCCAGATAACCACATTTTATCATGAATCATTCTCAATAGTCAGCATGGCTCCATCTCCTCCCAAAGGACTGAGGTGTAAATTTGGTAACAAGAAAATAAATGAATACTATCCTCAAGGTACTGGATGTGCAGAGTCAGACTGTAAATGGGCTCAGGATATTCAATGGAATATAATCTTGTTGTGACTTCAGGCAGGTTGAGTATTTGCATTCAGTGTCAACATGCTTCTCATTCTGAAAAGAAAACCTCTACAGACTTCCAGATGGAAACATGAGGCTCAGCCTCGTTCCAGACCTCTGAATCACTGCTCAGATTGTTTTCATCTAAAAAGTCTGCTTTCAGATCAAGAGGCTGTATAGTCTATGACTATTTTGCACAGTACTTTTCCACTTTTAATTCAGTTGTACTGTATTTATTTTGTTCACAGTTCATTTGTCATTTACGTATTATAATTCCTCTTTTGTATATCTATATTATTTCTATAATTGTTTTGGTTTTATTATAGTTTTTTTAAAACAATGTTTTAAAACATTTCTATATTCGCTAAATGTTTTTATTATATACAGATATACTCTTCCTATTTTTTCACAGTAATTTGTCC